TCGTCTTCCCTCCCTCCCTTCCGGACCCAGGCCTTTCAGCACTCCCACCACCCCCCCGGGCGCGCCGTTCGGCATTTCGCCGCCTTTTTCCGCCTCAGCCCCTCGCCGAACCTTCAGCGTCGAGGAGGAAACTCGAGTCCCCCCAGCGCTCTCCCCAGCGGAAGTGGCAGCGCGTCAGCCGCACACCAGCTAGATGCCTTCGACGCCTTCTACCCCTCTTCAACGCCAACAGACCCAGACCCCCTCTCGCTCTACTTCCCCCCTCCCTCCGAGGCCCCGTCCCCCGTCCCAGATCCTCACAGCGCCGCCTACGCCGCTGCGCGGTCTTTTGTGGGCGTGGGCGGCGATGCGGGGGTGGGTGGGCATATTGGTGTGCCTACGCACGGACATGTCCAGGGACGCGGACCTTGGCACGGACAGGGGCACGGGCACGGGTATAATGCGAACGGACACGGATACCCCCACACCCAAATCCAAACCCACCACGCCCACCCCCCGACCCCCGTCGCCCCCCTCAACCTGAACACGACCCTCGAAGGCACCCTCAGCAGCCTGCGCGAGTCCATCTCCGCCCTCTCCGCCTCCCTCGACTCCCTCTCCCGCCGGAACGAGATCGCGCTGACGAACGAGGCGATGCGGACGAACGAGGACGTGGCGTCCCTGCGGTACGGCATGCATGGGATTCGGGTGCAGGTGGGTGTGGCGTTTTTTTTTTTTGTTTTTTTGCGTGTGCTGGTTTTGTGTTTTGTGTTTTGTGTTTGGTTGTGAATGACGGTGTTCTGAACGACGGGGGCTGATACTCGTGCGCTCTTTTTCTAGGTACACCGGATCATGATGGACCGAAATGCACAAGTGACGGGGAGAATGGGCGAGCTCTCCCTTCCTCCTCCTCCTCCTCCTCCTTCTTCTTCTTCGGGACCACACCACCCCCCCATGCTCTCCCCCCCCGTCCCATTCCCCAGCCCAGCCGGCACCAAACTCTAGCCCCTCGCGACGACGACGACGACGGCATCGAAACACACGCGTCTGTATCCCTCCCCCTATCTCTCGTGGCATTCCATATTCCATGATGGCTCGTTCATAAACCCCCCAGCGGCCCGCACGGTAGGGGGTGGGGGCGGGTGGGGCAGGGCCGGCATCTTACCCGCTCGTCGAACATGCGCTCGAGCGCGGAGGCGTCGACTCAGCGGGGGTCTCATCTTTCGTTCGCCGGATGGGGAAGAGCTACCAAAGGTGTACTCAAGATGTACTCAAGGTTGCATCCTGCATCCGTATCCGTATCCGCATCTGTGTTTGAATGTAGCAGTATAGTAGACTCATCAAGGAGAGAGACCGTCGTTCCGTGATTGAGATTTGATATCGATGAACGAAGATGATCGATGCGTCGAGTACCATAGCCTCAAACCGATTCACGTCTCAGCACCACCCCACATCGCACTCTCACTCCCTATTTCCACCCCTCGTATTTCACGCTTTCGCGCCCAAAACGCAACACCACGCAAACGAAATAAAAAAATTTCATTTTCTCAATATTTCACAAAAAGAGAGAGTGTGTGTGGGAGAGAGAGGGGGGGACGGAATATTAAAACTACAAATAGCTTATCAACAGATTTTTTTCCAGTGTCGCACCGATTGACACCGAGAGATAGATAGATAAAAAATGACTAAGAGTGGAAAGAACGAAAACGAAAAACATGATCTGAAAATATAAACTGAACAAGGAAAGAAAACGGGGGACGGCGAACGGCGAAAGGGGAAGCGGGGGAAAGGAGAACGGGGGACGTAAGGGTAAGTGAAGGGGCGAAGGGAGACCAGGAAAGCACGCGAAAAACCGTACGTACGTATAACGAGGACACGACGAAATGATAAAACCGAGGATGAGGGAATGAATGAACGGAGGGACATGTTTTGGGATGGACATGGTCGTTGGATTGTGTGAGAGGTATGAACGAGGGAGGGAGGGACGCCTCGAGGGACCGTTAACGACGACGACGGATGACAGGACTGACTTCAAGTAGCAGTATGTCTGATAGTCTGATAGCGATGTCGGTGCAGCGCGGTACGGATTCGAGGGTTATGGATGATCTCCAAGACCGAGACGAATGATCGAACGGATCGAGGGGAGACTGGGAGGGACTATATTTAAAGCTTGAAATATCTAACTCATAATAAAAGATATAAAAACGAGATAACACATGTATAGAACCTGACGTATGCTTTCAAGGATCAAAAGAAAATTGTACGATATCTACACACCAACCATCGTCCCATCATCGACAGGTTTAGATGGCGCGGGGGGGGGGGAAGCTAATTGCACACTTTTGCACATGTTGGACTGTAGTGGGGTGAAAAAATATGTATGGAAGAGATTCAAGCATAATAAAAAAATAAAGAAGCCTTTTTTTTTGCAATGACCAAGCCTTTGACAAAAGTTGCACGCCATTCACTGAAACCTGAAAAATCAAAATTCAGAAAATGAAATCACGAAAGCGAAAAAAGCGACAAGGCAGAGAGGGAAAAAAAACAGTGATAATCTGGTGATAATAATAAAAAAAAGCCAGCTCAACCTCTCCTTCAAAACACGACGAAGACGAAGAAAAACATCAAACATCACATCAACGACGACAACAATCAGCTAAAAACAGCAAAAAAAAAAAAAGAAAAAAAAAAAAAAAAAAGAACAGACAGTGATGTCACCTATCCACCTATTCACGCATAGTCGCGAAACCCCTCTATGCCTGACACACCCGCAGACACAGACACAGACGGACCATAGTCGACCCCTTGCGTCATCCTCATCATCTCAGAATGGTCTTGCGGGTGCGGCGTGAATGAGCCTGTGAGTGGGTATTGCACCACGTCGCCCGTCGTCGTCGTTCCACCTCCACCGTACGTCTGCCCATGCCCAAACTCGCTCATCCCGCCCTCATACCGATACTTTCCCGATCCCTCCATCTGGACCGGGGCTATCGACTCTACGATCGCCGCCGCCGAAGCAGACGCGGACGACGAAGAGGACGACGAGGAGGAAGAAGGCGGTGGAGGTTGAGACGATGGGAAGACGCCCATCCTGTCAATAACGGAGCCTTGCACGTAAATCTGGGGGATATTCGCTTCCTGCATGTGCCCATGCGTCGTCGGGTTGATATCAGACACGGAAGCGTCAGAGGCGCCCATGTACGTTGTGCCTACCATCGGGTCTGGCGGGACCTGGAAATACACAAGCGTGTCGTTAGCCTCGTCATCGATATCGAAATCCAAAAAAGAAGAGGAGGAAGTTCGATTTTGACTCACACTTGAATAATACAAACTACTCGCTCCCTCTGGTTCATGCCCCTGTCCCTGTCCTTGTCCCTGCTGTCCCCGGGGACTGCCGCCCGGACCACTCGTCGGCGATGAATACCCAGTAGCAGAAAGCCGCCTTGGGTCGTTGGCGTGGTCTTGGGAGCGGGAGTAGGCGAGGGAGGAGCCTGCTGATAGATGAGATTCGTTGAGTGAGCCTTGGCTCGAGCGGTTGCTCATGTTTAGACTCGACATTCCGAGCTCGATGTAGTTACTACGGGGCGAATAAGAGCGAGGGGTGTCAGCATCATCTCCGAGGAAAACGAGGTATCAAACGAAGCCAAGCAACGAACTACGAAGAAACGAACGTAGAAACGAAAAAGCAATCAAGCAAACGCAACGCACCAAGATCCCCGTCTCACATTCGGATCATAACACCCCGGATCCACACTGCCCACATCCGAATAGAACGCGCTCGTATTACTCGACTCACTCCCCGCCACCGACGCTATCGAGCTAAAGCGCGACAAGCCTCCATGAGACGTCGACGTCACGTCGTCTTCGTCTCGGTCGTCCGCGGGGAAGGACCACTGCTGCAGTCGGGAAATGTCGGACGAGTACATCTCTCCTCCGCCACCGCCGCCGTCAAGCTCGCCCGGACAGGGAGAGGTGGCAGATGGAGAAGAGGGGTTGCCGAAGAGTAGCCTGGTGATGGAAGAAGGGCCTGGAATCGGAGAAGACACGGTGCGCTGAGGGACGAACTGTCTGTTGTCCGAGAACCGACGAGCGGAGACGTGCGAGGCGTACATACTCGCGTCGGACGCGCGCGGCGGGCGAGGGGGCACAAACACGTGAGGCATCGACGCGCGATGCGCCAGACCCGGTCGGTTGGGCGTGAACGGCACAGCGATGTGCGTCCCGCCGTTGCGTATCGGGCCCACCGTCGCCTCGCGCGCCATGGGCTGCAGGCTCTGGGAAGGAGAGGAGAGAGGCGAGTGGGTGTACAGCGCTTCGTTCTTCTCTTTCGCAACCCGTGCAAAGGGGTGGTGCATCAGTCTGTAGAGGCTCGTGTCCATCGACTTTCGCCGGCCCATGCTGTCGATGGACGGTGGGATGTGGCTTCCGTTGGCGAAGGACTGGGAGCGGGTGATGACGGGCAACGAGCCCCGACGTATGCTTAGCAGCTGTTCATCCTGTGATTCTTCTGGTATCGTTTGACGAACGGGATGAGAGATGAGGTCTGTGGCTGTGGGAGAGCTGTGCCACGAAGGAGGTGCAGAATCAGGAGCGAGCTGGGCGGGTGCGTCGGGAGCAGGACTGGATGGCACTGAAGGAGGGAATTCTGGCGTCTGAGTGGGTTGCGGGTCGTAGTGGTCGTCTACGGCAGGCGAAGGGACTTCTGTCGCCGTCGAGGAACTGGAAGATTCGTGGATGGGAGAGATATCCCTGGGCGACGAGCTGTTTTGTGAGAAATGGGTGGCGGCAGGGCTTGTGCTGGCATGGGCTTGGACTCGCTTCAGCTGCTGTTTCTCCTTTGCCCGTCTGGACTACATAAGAAAGAGAAGGATGGAAAAAGGGCGAAAAAAAAGTACCTGTTTTGAAACCAGACCTAGTCACGCGAAGCGTCAGAAGGGGTCAAAGAAGAGAAAAAAGGGCAAACGGACCTGTACGCCTCTGGGAGTCATGTCGAGCTGAGTGGCTAGGGCCTTGCGCAGAGCTGCATTCGGTTTTGTATCTTTGCGAAAGACGTCTTCGAGGACCTTGAGCTGAGGACGGGTGGTTCTTTTGCGGTGTTTGACCTCGTTGGGAATGTAAGTGAAAAAGGTGCGAATGTCGGCAGCAGAAGAAGAATCCATAGATGAGGGATAAATGTTGGATAGCAGAGAGGATGAGGGGAACCTGTTGTTTTGTGAATAGGGGGAGGGGGGAAGAGGGAGTTGGGAGGGATGGGAAGGGAGGTAAGGGACGCGGTACAACGCGGAATTTGGATGTAGGATTTGCGTGTGAGATGAAGGAGCGTGTTGGGAAGACCTGCGAAAGTCCATATAGTAGGAGAAAGAAAAAAGATGTGGGAGCGGGGGTTTGTGCAGTGTTCAGCACATGTATGGTTGGGGGGGTTGCAGGTTTTAAGAGAGGCAGGGCGAGGAGGAGCCACCAACGGACACGGTGGCTGTGACGACTACAGCACCCGTCGTCGTCAGGTCGAAATGTCGAAGAAGAGGATGTGGGACGGGGATGGCGACGAGGACGAGGGCAACGAGGAGGAGGACAGGGAGGGGATGGGGACGAAAGGGAGAGGGAGAGGGAGTATTTGAATGGACGGACACGTAAGAAGGATCACAGTGACGATCTCGTCGTTATCTTCTCTGCAAGCTCAAGCCCAGTGCGGGGATCATCACTCCGAGCCTAGCCTTTTTCATATATCACAACCCTGCAAATCAACACTAGCTACTCAACAAAATATAAAATGTACCGTCCCTATAGAGATTATATGTTATAGCAACAAATGTCCCAAGAATCCTACAATCCCCACTCATATTCACTTTTCTCATATACTCTCGTCCATCGCCATATCCTCACAACCAACCCTCGCCCCAAGAATCTCCTCCAGAAACCCACTCCCCACGCCTGCCAACGGCGACGCTGCAAACACAGACGTCCCCATTACCTTGGCCTCCATATACGTGCGCTCCATCACCCCTCGAGCCCTCGATACCACTCCATGCCCACACACTCCCTCAATCTCAATCCGATCCCCCGGCTCCGTTCGCATCATCCTCTTGATCAACTCAAACAGCTCCGGGCTCCCGTCCAGATCAACCAGACTAAAATCCTCTTGTCGTAATCGGTGCCACGCCTCGCCCCTACACAATTAATTTTCATTAGTCTCTCCAAAACTTTCCTCTTGCCGACGGTGCCGAATTCAATTCAACACAACCGGGAGAAAAAAAATACTCACTGATCAGGTACCACAATGTTAGTAGCCGTTTCCAACATCGTCATACCAAAGCTATATTTCGGAAAAAAAAAAATTATAATCAGTCACAGGTCAGCAGACGCCGCTCCCTCCAAGACATACCTGAACATGTCGGCAGCCTTGCCGTACTTCCCCTGAAGCACTTCACGAGCCAAGTACACCTTGTCACCCTCCCTCTCAAATCCACCCACCCCCACTCCCATCCCATGGCCCCCGCTCTTCACCCTCGGCCACACAGATCCCATCCCAAAGTCTCCAATCTTGAACCGCCCTTCCCCAGTCACAAATATGTTCGCAGGCTTAAAGTCAAGATGGATAACCCCTGAGTCATGAATAAACCTCAGGCCCTGAATTTGCAATCAGCATCATCCCTGAACTCTCTCCAGGCTAATCCCACTCACATTACTCAAATCCACCATGATTTTCCACACCCTCGCCTCGTCCAACCGGGGAAACACCCTGCCATACTCCCACAGGAATCGCGCAAAGTTTCCCAGTTCGCACAGTTCAGTCCGGATGTACAGTGCCTCGTCCTGTTCCCAGCTATCGATATACGCCAGTACGTTGGGATGTTGCCCTTGTGAGCTATTTGCGTCGGCCGCCGCTGCCTGAGCGAGATGTTGCAAGACATCCACTTCTTCCCGCAGTCGTAGTCTGTTTCAAGTAACGAGGGTCAGCCTTCTCTCATATCAATCGCGTGATCGCCAGGGTAACTTACCGGTGTCGCGAGCCTTCAAACCTTTTCGACTTCTTGACAGCATACACTTCATTCATAGGCCCGTTCTTCCCTCGCACCTTCATCACCTTGCCAAACTCACCGCTCCCTACTTGCTCAATCTCCACAAACTCCCTCTCAAACCGACCAGCCCGATCATGCTCCGAAGCCACGTCGTCTCGTCTTATCAGAGGAGACCCAGGAGGCCGCTTAATGGAGCCGGGCGCAGGCAACGTCCGCGACGCCATCGTTGGAGAGTTTAGCGTGACGACAGAGCTGTTGGATGACGATCGAGAGAACGTGTTCTTGGCACTCTTAGCAGGGGACAACTGAGATGGAATGCGAGGTGGTGGAAGGTTCCAGTCTAATTAACGTATTTCATTAGTAACTATCCCTTAAAAAAGTGACGAATGAAATTACCTTTACGACCGGTAGGCGTACCCATTGATACTTCACTACCGCTGGAAAATGCACCACTGCTACTCCGGCGCATCAACCATCGCGTTCGAGACACCGGGCCAGAAGGCCCATTAAACGAAGGCGGCCGACCAAGTCCAAGTCCCTCGTATTTACTCTCCTTCCTCGAACTCGGACTATTCTCCTGCTCCTCATCCGTATCCGAATCATTAAACCCCATCTTCCCCCTCTTGGGCCCAAGCGCCGACAACGCCGCCGGCAAACTCTTCCTGGGCCCATTCTTCGATTTCCCAGCAGGAGCAAGGTCGAGCCCAAAGTTGAACCCCACCTTCGCAGCCACGGCACTCTGCCAGGGTCGGTTCCCCGCCAAGTGGCTCGTCTTCATCTTCTTCACAGGCGTTCCGGGGGGCTTCTTGTTTTCCTCCGCAGAGACTTTCCCGCCTGCGGCGAGTGTGCGGAGGATGAAGGCGTCCACGTCCACGCCGTCTTCTCTCGGACGGCCAAAACTTCGGTCGCAGTCGTCCCATCCGTCGACGACGACTGCACCTGGCCAGCCCGACGTAGCACCAGGTGCAACTCCAGGCGTGACCAGATCATCATTCGCATCAGAGTATATCGAGCTCACGCTCGTCGATGCTCTAGGCATAGCGGCCAAAAAATCACTGCCAGTTCCCATGTCCTCATCGTCAGTGAGAACCACGCCTGAATCTCGAGGTTTGAATTTAGTAGCCAACGTCTCCCTCTTCGATCTCGGCGAAGGCGTGCCTTCCGTCACACTAAACACAAATGAAGAATCTGGCGGTCCGCCAGATTCGAACATCGTCATCTCGTCATCGTCCGTATCCTCCTCCCTGCGAGGCAAAGATGCTGGAGAAGAATTTGGCGAAAAAGAGTCTAGCGTCGACGAACGGAGCGTCCATGGTAGAGGAGATAGACTCGCGCTTCCAGGTCCTGCATAACTATGTCGATTCGACATTCGGGGTCGGGAAGAACGTAGCCGTAGAGTAGCATGGGGATGTTTAGCCAAACTCAGAATACTAGAGCTAGTGCGAGAACGAAGTTTTCCGGGAGCTGGAGAACTTGGGGTTGGGGGATCTACAGGTGTAATGGCAGGGCCAAAGAATAACGTTGCCGAGCTGGAGCTAGCTAATCGACTCATGGGAGCTCGTGGTGGGACAGAATCCGATGATCTCGACTGTATAACTGGTGGGCGTGGACCGCTGCTACCTGTCAGTCGGCGCCGAGGACGAGGCGAACCCGCTTCCGAAGACGACGCTGAGGAATTGCGCGCATGATCTCGCGCGACCGAAGGGAATGCTACGGCAGCCTTCGCGGTTCTTGGAGGACATGTACGTTGTACAACGGCGGGATCAGGCTGTAAAAATAGTATCAGTTAATCATGACTAAACACACAGCACTTCTAAATGTCAATTTACCAAAGATGAAGCTGGGGGTGACGGCGTTTGGTGAATGCTCTCCAGTAACTCTAGTGACACCGGCCTTGACCGAGCGCGACGCTTGATTATATGCCCACCTGGTGAAATGGCTTCTGCTACTTCTTCTTTGCCGTTTCCTCTCTTTACGACGTCGATATTCAAGGGCTTCTTCGGACTGATTGATCTTGGCTTGCTACGTCCAATCTCCGGTAATCTGTCCAAGAACAGCTCGTCTCCCCTATCGTCCTCATCGTCTCCGACCTCGATTCCAGAATCATCATCTTCGAAATCCCACTTCTCTCTCGGGTGATCGATATCACGCAAATTCAATCTCGTCATAGTCTCCGCCTGTCTCTTTACATAAGCCTCCGTCTCTGCTTTCGTTTGCGGTGTTCGTGCCACGAAGCGAGGGGCAGGAAGCGGTGCGAGACGGTGAAAGGCCATGCCAGAAGAGGTCTCCAGAGTCTTTGACGCAGATATGGAGAGAGGGGTCGTGGCACGCTGGCGAAGGGGCGTGGAGAAGCTCGTCGTATGAGGCGTTGATTTTCTCTTCGTCCCCACTCCCACTCTAGTTTCTGAACCGATGCAGGCAGAAGCGGGCGTCTTGAACGCTGATTGAGCGTTTGCCGGTCTAGTCGAGAGGGCGGGGCGAGAGTGGACGCGATGGGCCTGTTTCACGGGGGTACGCAGAGGCTGTGACGTTGAGGCCGGGAAGAAAGGAGATGAGTGCGGGGCAGACGAGGAAGCCAGAAAAATTCCGCCTTCGTCGTCGTCGATGGAGATGGGTTGGGGTTTCGACATATGGAGGGGGTAGAGGCGGTGGACGGGGGGCGGGGATCTGAAAGGCGATTGTAAAAAGATGTCATCAGGATCGCATTGTTCGATGGTGGGAGGGAAAATGACACGTTTTTTGAGGGGGGAAGGGGTTAACATGGGCGAGTCGTAAGAGGGAGGAGCAGAACTTGGATCAGTTGATAAACGGGGAGGAGTGTGTTGAAGAACGATAGACCGGCAAGACGGGGACATGCTCGAATCGCGTGGTCTTCCTCTTCGAGACACGAAGCCGGATGTGGGGGTGGTGGCCAGCATTGTCATGGTTGTGGGGAATGGGCTGCGCTCGTCGTGTGGGACGATGGGCGGCGCGTGTTGTCGTCGTCGTCGTCGTCGTGGTCGATGTCTAAGGTTGAACAAAGGGGAGGGGTAAATTTACAGCATGAAAGAAAAAAGTAATTTGTTGGGACAAGTGTTTAAGGGCCACCTTTTCAAAAGCGTGGGATCTCTTTAAACATGATCACGTGAGCGGACGTAGCCGCGGGGGCTGATTTATTTTTTAGATTATTTTTTAGTCTGTTTTTGCCATTTGCTTCCTGTTCCTCGTCGTCGTGACACGAGGCTACCGAACTCGCTAACCCTCCGTTGCCCTCATCTACCTCCGTTCATTTCCATGACAATATAGCCACTTGATGACGCTGAAACCTGCCCGAATTCTTGCTCTCTTGCTGACCGACATCTCCACCAGAGGACTTCTCACTGTGCGCAGCTACTCCGCCGCAGCTGTACAAGTACAGTAATTGGCTACTGATGTCAGTCCATGTAGCGCGTTTCCACCTTGGTACCTGATCTATGTTTACACTGCGAGTTTGCAAACTTGATCACCTCCGCGATTAGCAAATATGCCGGAATGTAAATAGGGATACGTACTCCAAATTAAATTGAGTCTGCTTTCCAAATGGTTGCCGTTCCTCTTGAACACTCGTTGCGCCGTATACACTCATTGGACAATGGTTGTCCCGCTCCCACCTACTATTATCACTGACAATGGCATGTCAACCCATTGTGCTCCCAGTCCGGACGACAATTGGAATACGTATACCCATTGAAAAAAAAAACGGGAACAAAAAAGAACGTGATATTTGGCGAGGCGAGTCATATCTCCTCCGAAGCCCGGGTTCTCATAGACTTGGCCTGAATTTGGTTCAACCTCCTGAAACTGTCAGCACAAAGTCTTCCCATCCTTGTGTAAGGTGATCTTATCGGGCGCCTGAAGCCATCGGACGACTAGGCGCAAGTACGCGCGTTCCGCTGAGCTCGATTGATTCCTACTTCCATGCCACTCACTTCGGACTGGATCAGGCTAGACACGCGTTTCTGAAAGAACTCGTTCCACTGATTTGCATGGTACGATCTGCCAGGAATCAAGACGACTCCGTATGGTGCGAGGTAATTGCACGACTATTCGGGCAGTTGGAATCACTGGTAAAGGTGAGCGCCCAACATAGATCATACAGGATTCTCACCGATATGTACTGCAATGAAGTGACTCGGTTTCATCATAATCATAATCTGATGACATCAGGAGATGGCTTACCACAGTGCCCCGACCATGCTAAACCAGTAGTGTGCCATGATTGCCATCATTCACTACCATGATTCATGGTGCCCATTACACGTTAGGAAGCATTCATTCCCACCACCACTTATATATGGACTCTCGGTATTTCCCCTAATACGCACAGTCTCGAGAGTAGTATAATTCATCTTGGCTTGCAATGTACTTGTGAAATGAATGTCTGACCAAATTATACTGACCCGAGGCTCTGGCTCGGAATTGCTCGTTACTGAGAGAGTGGTTACTGACAGAAAGTCCCGTCGGAGCGGGGATAGCACCTCATAGCACTGGCCACAGCTTCAACTTTTCTCACGATTGCTTGCACGTATACTCTACCACTGTCTGTCACAACACCAACACCAGAGCAACACAGCTCCTGCACAAGTTTCCCTAAATTATAACCCGTGGCAAAGAATAGGCTCAAAATTTACCAACAAAATGGACATCTCGTGAGTTCTCCCATTTGATACTATCTTCTTTCCCAGATTTCAAAAGTTAACGTATCATAGCTCGATTCTTCAAGGCGGCTACCAACACCCTCTTTCGCGTTCATGGCAGGGAAGACGTCAGCTCACAAAGTCCATGTTCATGTACCCCATTTTTATCACCGATGATCCCAATGCCAGCGTTATCATACCCACCCTCCCAGGCCAAAGACGTTGGGGCGTGAACAAGCTCGAAGAGTTTCTGACTCCCCTCGTCCAAAAAGGTCTCAAGAGTGTCATTCTCTTCGGAGTACCCTTGAACTGTGAAAAGGTACGTGTGCAGTGCTTCCCTCTCACTGTGGGAAATTCACAAATACGATGATTGACGAGTCATGCGCCAGGACGAACGAGGCACTCCAGCAGATGATCAAAACGGTCCCGTGATACTAGCCATAAAAAAACTTCGTTCTCTCTTCCCTTCTCTGTACATCGCCTGTGATGTCTGCCTCTGCGAATACACGTCTCACGGCCACTGTGGGGTTCTCTTCGCAGATGGTACTATCGATACGGAACCTTCTGTTGACCGCATCGCAGATGTTGCAGTGAGCTATGCCGTTGCCGGCGCGCACTGCGTCGCTCCGAGCGATATGATGGACGGCCGCATCAAAGCCATAAAGAGAAAGCTGATCGATGAAGGGTATGGTAATAAATGTACTCTCATGAGCTATTCTGCAAAGTTCGCAAGTTCTCTTTACGGCCCTTTCAGGTAAGCAGATCGACCGATTTCAAATTGAAGCGTCCAGAATTATAGTCGACTTGCAGAGACGCTGCTGGAAGTGCACCATCCTTCGGTGACCGTAAATGCTACCAGCTTCCACCCTCAGCAAAAGGCCTAGCCAGGCGTGCTATCGTAAGTCTTCTCAATGCCGGGGGTAACAAAACCCCGTTCGAACGTGCTTATGCTGAAAACTATCATGCAGCAACGTGACACCGCTGAAGGTGCCGATATCATCATGGTCAAGCCTGCTATGCCCTATCTCGACATCATCGCCGATGCTGCACAGCTCGCACCTGACCATCCCCTCGCTTGCTATCAAGTTAGCGGCGAATTCGCCATGGTGCACGCGGGGGCGGCTGCTGGTGTGTATGAATTGAAGACAATGGCCTTCGAATCCGTCGAAAGCATGGTCAGAGCCGGTACGTATCGCTTTTTTTGGGCATAGCCGGAGAATGATGATTATATGGTTTACGGTAACTTCCACAGGCGCTACGCTGATTTTGTCCTACTTCACTCCGGATTTCTTGGATTGGCTAGAAGCATGAAATATAATGAAAAAGAAACGGGGTTATTTGTGGCACAATGGGAAATAGATAATGTAGTGAGACAGGGTAACTTCTTTTTGACGCATGTACCACCTTACTCAATTCGTAGGTCACAGGAACACCAATAAAACAACGTTGATATCCAGCATGACTTGCCAAAACCGTGATCATAATGCAGTTTTTTTTGATGAAGAAGCCATTCGAAACCAAATTTTACTCTTTCTAGACCTCGCCGTCGACTAATTCGACGACTACATCGATTCTTCTAGAAGTGAATGCTTTGCCCATACTTGCGCATACCAAAGTGGAAGGGGTATATCATCCCTTTATGTCAAGATGAAACGCTGGCCTATTGAATGAATCCCGAAACCTGCATAGCGCCGGTGACCGTACAGCATATTTGTTCGTTAAATCAGGACTCGATCCGGGCCTGTGCTCAATTAAACAGTATAGGCCTACATTCTAAACATGTCGTTAATACAGCCGAGATCATGGGGATTGAGAATTTATATGTCGAAATCCCCAACCCCTGTAAATGAAATACCGTACAACACCAGTCACTGCTCAATTGGTTTGCTCGGAGATGAAAGTTGTCGATTAGATATCCACGTGTTCGCATTTTACATCGTAGATCTGCCACCATCTTGATCCTGATACACTGCCGCGTCTGCCACTATCATCATCATGCCCCTACCTCCGCCAGCCCCGCCAGCCTACTCCCCAGAAAACTGTGCCATATGTCTTGAAAGCCTCCACATCCCATCCAACGACGACGAAGGCCCGTCCCAGATCATCGACGACGTCGAGCTGCACTGTGGCCCGCCAGGCTCTGGCGCGAGCGGGCACCATTTTCACTGGAGCTGTATCATGGAATGGGCAAAGACGGGGGGCGATAAGAGTCGCTGTCCGTTGTGCCGTCAGAACACGCTCGATCGAAATGGCCGGTTCATAGTGGATGTAAGGAACGAAGGGGGTTTTACGGGCGGTATGGACCTAGGCGAAGAAATTGCGAGTGTTCCTTCCTGCTAACATACCCCATAACCTTATCTTATTTGCTGATACGTTGATACATCCCTATTGTAGGACGAAGAGCTATATCTTGACGCACACCCCGAAGAACGATACAAGATCGCTTTCCTCGGTTTCATGGCTCAATCGGACTTTGACGAGGCTGGTCTGGTGTTAAGGGAGCACGGTGTGGACGTGAACAGTGCTTACGTGCCTGGAGGACAAACCGCCATGCATATGGCCGCTTTGAACGACGACGTGGAGGGTATCCAGTTTCTCCTTCAAAATGGGGCCAACCCGCACACAAAAGACGATACAGGCATGATACCCCTCGATCTGGCTAGAGATGTGGATGCAGGGCGAGCTGTCTCGATGTTGCAAAATCTGTAAAGATGGCATTTGTGCATACAAAATTGCACTTGTCTTTCTCACTACGTGATCCTTCTTTGATATCTACATGTATGATCAAAAACAATAACAATGGGTTTTTTTACCGAGTGAATCTCAAATTCAAAATAAAATATATCCGACCTGCCTGGCTCGAACAGGCGACCTCAAGATAAACAGACATCCTATTACAGTCTCGCGCTCTTCCAACTGAGCTAAGGTCGGTATACACCACGCTGCCCGTTTACTATGAAGAGCTGCATATACCTTATGATAAGGTGCTCCGACCCTTGACCTTGCACTTCTCCTAGTACAGCGCTGCACCGATCAACAGTAACCACCATCGCGATGGCGAAGAAAAACAAAGACGAAACCCCCAATCCCACCAGCATCTCGAACAGGGACATCATCCAAAGACTCAATTTCCTCTACCAAGCCAGCACATACCTCAACAACATCTCCCTCCCCCCCAACCCCGATCCCGACCCCGAGTCTTTACCCAGCACCGGCACCGCATCCGCCACAACCGACAAGGCTCGCAAATCGCGGAAGGAGGGAAAGAACGATGGGAGGGGCGGGAGGAGGGTGGTGACGCGCTCGGAGCTGTCGAGGGCTTATGTCGAGTCGATGAGGACGGTGGGGCAGAAGACGATTGTGAAAATGTTTGTTTTTCATTGTCTGAAAATTCGGCGTACGACCTCTTGTTTGATGACTTGCTGATCATTATGGGGTATCTCGAATGTAGGGATCCTTCTGTCAAGCGCACGGTGTGCAGGGGATGCCATATCGTACTCCTTCCTGGTCTGACCTCTAAAGTGCGTGTTAAAGGTATGTGCAAGGTTATCAGCAGTCCTGTCGATGGACAAAGGACGGCGGAACTATGATAACCCTAACTGGAAATTCTGAATTCTTGAATCCTAGCATCCCGCTCGCATGGCCACATAGTCACTTACATCTGCACGGAATGCAAGACATCCCGACGTATACCCGCCCCCCCTACTCTACTCTCGCCAGTCGAAGGCAGTAAAGAAGCACCGGTCATCCCTCAGGAGGCACACGCGGCACACGCGGCACCCGAACATGTCCAGCTAGGACAAACCATGGATATCGACCACCACGACGCATCCAAGGAAGACCCAACGTCGATGCCAGCGTCAGCAGGGGCTGCAGACGTGACTTCCCCCGCCAAACGACGAAGATGCAGGAAGGCCAGGAAGAGCGCTGTCCCCCGCCTGGCGCCGCATTTTGCACGCAAGGTGGGGCATGTCGTTTTTCGAGGCAATGAGAGGTTGCAGGATGGTGAGACGTAGCGCTGTGGAATGGGCGTTGTTTTCGTAATCCTTGTCGTGATAGGAAGGTCATAGAACGTGCCAGTCGGGGTGACTGGACGGGTGCTACATCGATCGACATCAACACGATCATTTCGAGCACCAAGCCCACAAACACTGTCGCAAAGACAGACTCCTGCATCGAGTCGCTCCCATGTCAGGGATCTCACGATACTCAGTGATGCACACGAATCAGGTCAGCAAGAAGATGAGTGTATCTAAGAGTACAGGAGCCGTGTGTGTAAAGAGTAGCGCAGATAGGTAGACAACAAGGGGGTATGGTGAAACAGATATAGACCGCTTGGGTCATGATAAATAATGAATAGATAACGCAAAAACAGTGAACCAAAGAAAGTGAGGAACGAATGACGTGAAAGCAGCATTGGTACGGGTATCTGGCCTATACAGGAGTTAGTTCAGTGGCAAAAAGCTAGGAAGATAAGACATACGGTATGCCATTTTGTTCAGAATAAGAGGGACAAGTGTCGTTTACGTTACCCTGTTGAAGAGTTAGATGTGGTGTACGTAAAGCAGAGAAAGATGAACGAACCGTAGGATTGTCGGGACAGCACCCACTGATGGCGGCCTCTGATCCGAGGGCAGCAGCGTTATCCCAACCCTCCCAATCATCGCAGGTAACACTCTGGTAACTGATATTCCAGACACCAAAGTCCTAACAATCACACCTGACATTACAAACGGTCAAATAATTTAGAAATATTAACGTACAGTATAACCTGAGTGAGTAGCCTCTTTGTAAGACATTCAACTCTAGATATTGATTAATTGATAACTTACCGTATAACGACGCGTCGGAGGGGAAGAAATCATTTGATATTGATGACGATGGCCATGCGAGGTCGAAATTTAGGTATGCACCAGCACTATCAACCAGTGTTAACACATAGATATGAAAGGAGGAAAGAAATACACGAACGAGTTGGGCTTGCTGGGAGTGGCAGAACACCACCCATTTTCTGAAAGAGGACACAGATCTGTGACTTTGACAACCACATGGTTGGTGACATTGGGGTAAAAAGGAGGGTTGGACGTGAAAGTGTTCAAGAGGGTCAAGTTGAAGCATCGGCCACACGCTGGACCATAGGAAGTGCTGCTCCCAAAGGCCATTTGGTTTAGTGCCGCTGTGGGGTAATGAGTGCTGGAAGGAGTGCATCCACAAGCGGCGACAAAGTTTTCGGGGAGGTAGTAATGAGTCATAGTTGCATATCCAGTTGGAGGGTATTGTATCCAACTTGAATTTGAGGCGTGTACTTTTGAAAGAAGGGACAGAAATGACAGAAACGCCAGAGCTGGCAGAAAAGCGGTCATGGTGGAGATATCAGGACGACGAGATATACCGGTTTTTTTCTAGGTTGAGGACAAGGACATTAGGATAGCCTTGTGTGCTATAAAAACCAGGAAAGTCGTGGTCGTGGTCAGGCGAGAAAAGACAAGGGAAAGACAGGGATCATAAAATTAGACATAGACAGACAGGGAGTGTGAGTGAATAAGTAGGGAGTGCCTGGGGTCCGATGTACTGAACGATATCCAACTTGACTTGGAACTGACTACATTGTTACTACAACTTCAAGTTCAGTGAACATTCAAATAAGCGCAGAGTCTATCACTCACAACGTTACCATGGGCAAGCTTCTCTATCCCCCCTCCAAAGAAGGCGCCCAGCTCAGCGACTACGCCCTCGCCCTCAAAATTGCACGACATTCCCCATGTACCGCATGCAGCTCGTGCTCAAACCTCAGACCACCACCAGACGTCGAGGTCATGCTCGACCAAGACGCCCAGAACAAGTCGTCCTTGGGTGACTTGACCCAGTACGGCTCAGACGACGACGACGCGCCCTACGCTTATATCGAGACCTGTGATTGCGGACACGATGTCACCGATCACGGTGCAGACGAATCCGTCATTGGAAGAGACGAGTTCTCTCGCAGAGCACGCGTTGCCGTTCGTCTCGACGAGCTCCTTCAGGTATCCATTCCCACTTCTCATCCACCCCATTCTCTCACTGACCCCTCTCCGAATCCCAGGTTCGGCTTTTCTTGCCTCCATCACAAGGTCACATTAATTCAGTGGCGTCTGCAGGATGTAGACAAACTATTGGACTTTGATTATACCGACGATGATATTGTCTCACTGCGCCAGCAAATGAAGCTTCCTATTTCTCTCGTTAGCACCTCATCTCCGTCTATCCGTATGTCCTTTCCACCCTATCGCCCTGCTGCTTATTCACCGCCCTTTAGAGCATTCCTCCCCGTTCGACGACAGAGCTCTCTCTCCCGCCTCGTCCATATTGAGTGATCTACCGCCTCCAAGTAAAAAACGGCGACTCTCCGTATCTTCACTGAGCGACGATGATGACGACGACGACGATGAAGAGGAAGACAAACCCCTTGCAGCGCGCATGGGTACGAAGACGTCCAGGGAGCGCCCAGAGACCGGCGGCAGAACAACCATGGGCCAGAGAAGCGGCAAGAAGGTGTCTAGCATGAAATCAAAAGCGCAGTCCGCCCCCACCCGTGCGACCAAAGAGCAAGCAGACTCGAACGGAACACTCAATGGAATAAACGGGCGAGAGCCAAAAGTCAAAGTCGAAGATAAAATGGATGAAGGTCAACTGACTCGTCTTGCGAATGGTGTCACTGTGGATGCTGGTAGTACGGCATCCAACGCTGTAAGCGCCTCCTCGAATCCTTGTTTCTTCGTGCTCACACACCCCCTAAGCCTCCCACCAAGGCTGAAAAAGCCGCTATCGTCGAACTACGAAAGGGCATCATACACATCACCGCAGTCGAAAACGATCGTCAACCCCGTTCATTGGTCATACTTACCGGTCTCAAAACGCTATTCCAGAAACAACTACCAAAGATGCCACGAGAATACATCGCACGACTGGTGTACGACAGTAACTCGAAATCACTCGCCATCATAAAACGAGGATATAAAGTAGTGGGCGGTATTTGCTACAGGCCCTTTCCTCACCGCGGGTTTGCAGAGATCGTTTTCTTCGCTACTGCATCTGTAGACCAAGTCAAGGTATGATGGTATTCTCAACCTTATTTACTCGCGCTTAATAACCTTCCAGGGCTATGGAGGCATGCTCATGGACCACTTCAAAACGCACATCCACCACACTTATCCCACCATGATGCACTTTTTAACCTACGCTGACAACTACGCCGTCGGATACTTCAAAAAGCAAGGTTTCTCCAAGGACATCACTCTCGATCGTTCAGTATGGGCCGGGTACATCAAGGATTACGAAGGAGGGACGATCATGCAGTGCACGATGCTCCGCAAGGTCAACTACCTCGAAAAGGCAGACCTCATCGCGCAACAACGCGAAGCGATACTCACCAAGATCCGCGAAATGTCGAAATCTCATATCGTCTACCCCGGTTTACCCCAGTTCCAACATGACGCTTCGGGTGACATGGCGATTGATCCGAAGGACGTTCCGGGACTTCGTGCGTTTTTTTTTCTTTGACGTGGTTGTGCCTGTTGTTTTCATTCATTCATTTTGATGACGTGTGTCCGATCTTTTCATTCACAGGGGAAAGTGGGTGGACGCCAACGATGGATGCCAAGTATGTGGCACATTTTTTTTCTCTCGTTTTTCTCTTGGGTGTTTGTATTGCGATTTCTGATGCGTGCACACGATCCATATTCACTACAGCACCCGAACTATCCCTCGCAATGCAGAACATAACTTTATGCAGAGGCTTATGACGGACTTACAAGGCCATCCTCTCTCATGGGCCTTTCTTCAACCTGTCAATGGAGAAGAGGTCGTGGACTATTACGATGTCATCACCAAACCCATGGGTGTGTACCATCCTTTTCTTCCCTTCTCCTACCACCCCATTCTCAAAATTTACATTCCCAGATTTCAGCACAATGGAGCACAAGCTAGAGACAAACCAGTACTCAACCATGGACGCATTCGTGAAAGATGCCATCCTCGTATTCGACAACTGCCGGCTCTACAACCCAGAGTCCTCCATCTACGCAAAGAACGCGACGAAAATGGAAAAGTTCATGAAGGAGCAGCTGAGCGATTATAAAGAGAGGGAGTCATGACATGGGTCTCGGGTCTTTTTTGGTTTTCTTGGTTTTCTTGTTTGTATTCTATCATCATATTCTGTACTACTCACGCATCGTTGTTTATTCTTAAAACCTATCTAATTGTGTCTTTTGTTCACCCGTTTGGTATCGATCAGTCAGCTGCATGGGGAGGGTTTGGCTCTTTCGTTCCACATCGAGGTTCTATCGGCCGCCGAACGTTAGTGGTGTTGGTGCGCACCAATTAGAGATAGTATCAAGGATGTACTAGTGCTACTCACGGCCCTCTTTACGGGTAATGAGTTCACTCGAATCTTCATTTCGAGAATGGAAAATTCTACTTATTCTCTCATATGATCATGGAATTCATATGGAGCACAGTCATTCATTTCCAGAAACCTGTGAATTTGTCATATACCTCCATTGTTCTGATGCGGGTCACGCAATCTTTCTGAGGTCGACTTGTTTAGTAAATAGTAGTGCTCAGTTTATGATCGCCGCGTTATCAAAGTTTCATATTGCGCCTGACAGAGCTGACAAGAAGTTATAAAGTTACATGTAAAAATGGCATCGACTATAGTACATTTGAATATGCGAGCCGAACCTCCACAAAACCAAAATAAAAAGCACTCAGCGCTGACCATCTACAAAGAGCAAATACCAATCATAGTCAGTAAAAACATACAACAAAGTCAGGATTGCTGTGAAACTCACAAGCCTTGGTCTCGTACTTGCCAACACCGACGATGACGTTTTGAGGTTCCTGGGCTTTGCTAGTGAGGTAGTTCTCGAGGATGCTCTTTGTACCACGGGCGTAGCGCGCCTGGGCGTCGAGAGTAGTACCAGAGTAATGTGGCACCATACCGTTTCCACCACCGAGAGGGTTCTTCATCGTTCGCCACGAGTGGTCCTTGGGTGCGGGTTGTACATTCCAGACATCACCAGCGTAACCGTTGATCTGCCCACTCTTGATGGCTGCTGCAACAGCGTCTTTGTCACAGATGGCACCACGAGCAGTGTTGACGAGCCAGGCACCCTTCTTGAAGTGCTTGAGCAAGTCAGCGTTCACGAGGCCACGGGTGCCTTCGTGCAGGGGGCAGTTGACGGTAACGACATCGCATTGCGAGACGAAGTCCTGTAAAGGGTGACGTCAGTAAACAATGACAGAGATGTATATGATAGGTCCCTAACCTTGAGGTCCTCTACTCGGCGGGCATTGACAGTCTTTGCAGCAGCTAAAAGCCACGATCAGTACAGACAGAGACTGAAAATGGAAGTGCTTCTACCTTCGGGCAAGGGGGCATAGTCGTAGTAGATAAGTTCCTTGCAGTCGAAAGGAAGCAGACGTTGGAGAACACGGTAACCGATACGACCAGCTCCGATAGTTCCAACGACCTTGCCTTCCAAATCGAAAGCATTGCGGGCAACGTCTGAAACTTGCCAGTCACCGCGTTCAATCATCTAGAGAGAGGTTTAACATTCGCATATATGCATCAACCTGTGAACTCACCTCGTGTGCAGGGACGAAGTTCCTGACGAGGAGAAGGATAGACATAACGACATGCTCAGCGACGGAGACGACGTTTGAGCCCGACACCTCGAGCACTTGTACGCCATTCTTGACGGCAGAGTTAAGGTCGATGTGGTCTGAACCCACACCAGCAGTGATACAGATCTTAAGTTTCTTGGCCTAGAGGACACGAAATGAATACGATAAACTCGTATTGTGAGAGTATAGCACACCTTTTCGAACAGCTCCGCGGTCAAGTAACCAGGGTGGAAGGGGGTGGTAATCAAAACCTCAGCCTGAGATAGGAAAGCATAAATAAACACACAAGGTCCCATAAGGAACGCGAGCTATACTTGCATCAACGATGTGCTTCTGGAAGTCGCTGTCGGGGCCCTCTTTCGAATCGCTGACCTAAAGCAAGGTGGTGAATGAGCTGCGCATATAGTCAGACGACCACACATACGACGTATTCGTGACCTTGGGATTCGAGCCATTCACGGATGCCAAGCTTTGGATGCATTCAGCAATGGAGTCTTGTGAAGAGAGCTGAGAGCATTACCTGGTTCTCAACGGTACCAAGGAGTCTGGGCTCTTCTTTGGCAGCTGAACCACCCTTGTACAAGATTGCGAGGACCTAATATGCCAGTCAGCGACGAGCATACATGCACGTACGAGGGCCTGATCACCTTCATGATGTTAGAATTATTTGTGAGAGGATGAGGATGGGAGAGGATGAGATGGTGAGAAAAGCGATGAGTGGGGAGACATGGGTTGAAAGCCAGGGTTTTATAGGAGATGGGAGATGGAAACAGGGACCCGTCATCTGACGTTCTGCAGACGTGGATTGCACTCCTTCCGGTTCTGGCCTCTACCTCCTACACCGAGATCCTACTCAGATAACCCATTCCATATCTGGCACACGTCACGTGCAAAACTCGGGCGAAAACGCACTCACCAATTTGGAAGTGGCCCCTTACCTTCGGACAATCTCGGGCGCACATGTACCAAATGAAAAAAAAAGCTCTCTCAAGCGTTCCGGTCCCAGACACTGACACTTCCTTCCGTGGGCGTCTTCACATCGCTGTCTCACAACTTGCTACGCGAGCTCACATCTTCGACGAATGCTTCGGGTATGATTATCCGACTAAGCTGCACCATCCTAGATTATCCTTCTTGAGTCCTGATCTTACAGGCGACGTGTGCACACTGTGTGCACCTGGGCAACTCTCAGGAACAATCGTTTAGGACGTGATCGGAACCTGCTCACCTTTGCAAGCTACGCGCTCTCTATTATTCACACTTCGTCGGGAACCTGCATGAAATACGCGGCTATTTTGATGCCTGGACAAATGCTTAGCATGGCGCAATTCTCGCCCGCATGATCCCGCTATTCACTGATGGGTGTCTATTAGTTCAATGGCTATATCTATATCCTGCACATCAGCCATCGTGAGCTTGAGATAACATGCGGTAAAAAAGCACGACTCACTACATTATCGTCCATACTTTGTACCACAGAATCTATAAATGTCATGGTATATCATTACTGTCATTCGTGTGCTCTGAGATCAATTCAAAACTTTCGTCACCGCTGATACTCCCTGCACCGCTCCTGCGTCCCTCTCTCGACTTCTTCACGGCCTCCCACTCCACACGGACGAAAACCCACATCCACCTACGCACCAGCTCCGCCATTTCAAGCCAGAAGATGAGCGCACTGCCTTCGGTTTCAGAGTGCAGATGACTCGACAACTTGATCGACCACGTCAGGCGAAGCACAAGGTTGAGGAAGATAATCAACGGATAGACAGGAAGAGGGTAGAGGAGGACAGGACGGAGCCCGAATGGGTAAGAGCTTTGTTGTGGGGGAATGGGGGTGTAAATACCAGAGCGTGATTGGGAACTGAGGTCTGCAGAAGAAGACGGCGAATGAACAGGAGATCCTGTCATACTCGTGGATTTTGAATGAAGGGAGGGCAGCACTAGCGCTCGTGGGGGTCTCCCTCGTGATTCAGCAGGTCGCGGCTTTAACAGATCCAAACCCCAATCATTGGTTACATCCCACCAGAACGAATATACCGAGTTCACAGCGGCAGCCAAAAGCCTAAAGAGAGTCTATAGAAGCATGACCTAGAATCCTGGAGATTTTCGCACTCACCATAACCGAAAGAGTTGATGTTCTCCGTGCCATGCTTCGCGCGTGACCCCCTCCCCTTTCTCTTCCACGAGGTCAGAGATGACTATTCTTTGCGCCGCAGAAAGGAAGATGACCGGGAAAGAAGATGCATATTTGATTGCATTATATAACGGTCTCCTACTATCATTCGTAGAAGACGCATGTTCCACTAGACATTGACGGAAGCGGGCTAGATAGGGCAAACTAGCGGCCAACGGTTAGCTTTATAATATATGGAAAATGCCAGAAGTGTACCTCATCAGCACAGGGAGTATCCAACGCGACCAGCCGTCTTGGGAAGGAAGAGATAGGAGACTACCCCCAGGGAGAAGCATTAATACTGAAAGCCAGACATCTCCCAGTACTTTGGCGAAGGAGGTAAAAACATCGGCGAATACCACGTCAGAAAAATAGATTGGATGACCACTTGGGGGAGATATACATCTCCGGATAGAACTACGGTCAGAAAAAAGGGATGTCCATACATGAATCGTCTGCAGAACAGGAGATCAAAAAAAATAAGTATACCCACAAGATGAATGCATCCCGCTCATGCTTTTGAAAAACATCGTATGGACAGAGTAAGAGCGTAAGAGCTCCCAATGCACAAACCGCTGGTATGTATTTAAACAGGTCCACCAACGCTGGGTCGGACTGTGACGAGTATCGAAAGTACAACCAGGCTACGAAGCACCATAGGGAATACGCCGTAAAAACGCGGTATACGGGGGTATAGGTTAAAGCAGCATCTAGAATCCGTCGAAAGCCAGAGAGGCGAGAAGAAGGTAGTCTGAGAGGTATGTGATCCTGGGGCTCTTGCAATTCTAGCACGGCGGGTGCGTCTATACCCAACAAGTGGAGACCATGGAGGTTTGTGGCCCAGCCAAGTATACCCATTCCAGCCAGGAAAAGGACGCGGAAGGGCAAAGGAAAGGATGCAGCAAGAGGGATTTCATTGCTCATGTCCATGTCGCGTTGAAACGATAGCCAAAGCTTGCATCTATGCTTTGGATCAAAAGTTCGAGGACGCAGCAGTTGTGGCTGTGCACTGTAGAGACGCGCTTTATTTCTGTGCACGTGTTGACTCCACCATCGAGACTTCGGCAAGGAAAAACCACTGGCAGACACACCATCTTATTCAACACTACCTCAATCGTTGATTTTCGTATTTGAGCGATGGCGGACAAGGGTGGTGCCTATGGCACAAAAGCAGCAGACACCGACTTTAGGAAGAAGTGGGACAAGGAAGAATATGCAGAACGGGCTCGAAAAAAGGACGAGGACGAAAAGACTCGTATGCAGGAAAACGAGGAAAGGTTGAAGCAAGGTGTGCAACCTTCCTCATGACATCACTCTATATCTTATACCAACCGCTGGATAGGAAAGAGACCACGAAAAGCTCCAAAGGATGACCTCCCCAAACCCACCGAACTCATGAAACGCCGTGAGGGCTCGCTGGAGCTGGACAAGAATCTCAACAAGACTATGGTAGTCCAGAATCCTGGTGGTAGAGGGCCAGGGCAACCTGGTTTCTTCTGTGAAGCGTGTAGTAGGACCTACAAGGACAGCGTAGGCTATCTGGACCATATAAACGGCAGAGCACGTACGTCCCTTTATTGCACTTTCTCAGTCTATTATTCTGATCTGGCATTCAAGACTTGAGGAAATTGGGTCAGACGACACGGATAGAGCGATCAACGCTCGAGCAAGTGCGTGCTCGAATAGCGTTCCTGCGTGAAAAGACAAAAGAAGCGTCGAATGCCAAATCTTTCGATTTTGATCAGCGGTTAGCAGAGATAAAAGCCAAAGAAGCAGCCGCGCGTGCTGAGAAAAAAGCACAGAAAAAGGCAGAGAAGGAAAGGGCTCGCGTTGAGCTCGTGAAGGACTCAGTGATGCAAGAAGAAGATGATGAGATGGCTAAAATGATGGGGTTCGGCGGGTTTGGCACGACCAAGAAGTAAGTTATCCTGTACGTCGTACATATTCAATCTGTATTTCTAGAAAAGCAACGCTACTGTATTACTAGCACTCGATTCACTCGCAGGTATAGTCACGGTGGGAATGATCACATACACATTATTTTTGGAAAACAAGTAACATTGACAGAAACCAATTATCAGTGAGGGAATTTTCAACAGTATTCTACATGCACACTATTGTAACAACATATTCATTTTTCTTCTATTTCGTTCCTTCTTTAGTTCAGACGGTCAAAGAAATTACTGTCGCACCAGCGACAGGATGAACTTCACATCTGCGATTTCTTGCTCTTCCTCGATCACCGATACCCCTCCTTTCCGATCCTTTTCATCGACAGGAACGCTCCGCACAGTCTTCTGAATAACGCTCGCATGCTCCTTCATCGCATCCTGTAGCTCAGCCCCTGAACCCTCCTCAAATCGATAGTAAACATCCACATCGTCTGTAGCCTGCAGCCCTGCCTTCTTCCTCAGCTTCTGCACACGGTTGATCATCTCTCTCGCCAACCACTCGCCCATAAGATCAGGATGTACCTGGATGTCGAGTCTCACGACGACATCATTGTCCGTATGTGTAGCGTACTGCCCTTCAGATGTTTTTGGCAGTTCTAGATATCGCTGCACAGTCAGATCGCCAGCGACGAGCTCGATACCATCGACCGTGAGCTTGCCAGAGTCGATGTAAGCTTTCACTGCGGCGCTGGATACTTTTGGAAGGGCGTTCTTCACGCGCCCGAGGTCTTTACGCAGTTTCCTGCCCAGAACAGCCCAGTCTGCGATGACACGGTAATGCACCCCAGAAAGGTTTTCATCAGACGTGAAAACAATATCGCGAACGTTGAGCTCGGATTGAATATATCGTTGCAACGACTTCACATCTTCGAGGTACTCGTCGTCAGGATGGAAAACGAGCAGTTCTTTGAGAGGAGTCTGCGACGGAAAGTTTGTTACTAGTCTGTGATGAAGACCTCGCTAAACGAGTACGTACCTTCAACGAAAGATTATTCTTTTCCCGGATATTCCGTGTCAGCTCGATAACGGCTTGCATACGCAGAACCTGTCGCTCGATGACAACATCGAAGTACTCTTCTTTCACCTCCGGGAAGCTCAAGAAATGAATAGAACGAGAATCAGGCACCGAGGGGTCTTCTGGTATGAACTGGCGCAGCGACTGGTAGACGTTCTCTGTCAAGAACGGCGTATACGATGACTACAGAAAACCATTATCGTTCGAAAAACTCCATAGAAGAAGAAAATCAAATCGCGAGAAGTCACAAAAACTCACCATCGTCCTGCACAACGTGAACAGCGTCTCGAACAGCGTATTCAACGCTGAAACCGTATCTTCCTTCCCATCCTCACCCTTCAAGCGCCTCCTATTGAACCTGATATACCAGTTCGTCAGCTCATCGACTAGATCGAGCAACCGCGGGATGATAGTGTAGAGTCTGTACGCCGCCATCTCCTGCCTCACGAGCGCGATAAGCGATTGGCACCGCGCGAGAATCCATCGGTCCATCACATTATTCGAGAGCGGCGCATGTGGGTTGTACGTGAAAGAAACACCCGTCGTTTTCTGTAAAAGCGCGACTTGGCCGAGGAAGAAACGGAAGGAATTGAGCCACGGGAGGAGCACGCGGGTCACCACTTCTCGCACACCTTCTTCGCGGAAACGAAGGTTGTCCCCACGAACGATGGGCGAGTTAACGAGGAACATTCTGGGATGAAGAAATCAACCACGTGAGTTGATCAGGCAGAGGTAGGACAAACCTTGTGGCATCGGCGCCGTACTGGTCAAGAATAAGATTGGGATCTGGGTAATTCTTCTTGCTCTTACTCATCTTCTTTCCATCACTGCCCATACATTTCCATTAATGACTCGAGCTATATCTCATTATAAAAAATCAAGAGCTTACGCTGCGAGGACCAGCCCAGTCACAATCAAGTTTTTCCATGGTGCAGCTCCAAATAAATGCGTCGACAGCACCAACAGCGTGTAGAACCATCCTCTTGTCTGGTCGATACCTTCAGAGACAAAATCACCGGGGAACGTACGCTCAAACAGTTCCTTGTTCTCAAATGGATAATGCACTTGCGCAAAAGGCATGCTGTAAACGGCAGCAATGAAACGTTAGCTCAGCTAATGCAGCAACTAGCTGAGATGAAACTCACCTCCCGGACTCGAACCAGCAGTCGAACACCTCTTCGATCCTTCTGAGGACGCCACGGCCTTTCTTCGATGGGATGGTGATATGATCCACCGATTCTCGATGGAGATCTACTATGCCCTTCACACCCGAGAGCTCCTCAAGCTGGGCAATGGAGCCAATGCATACGATCTACAAGAAAAAAGAAAATTCAGCTTCGAGTCATCATCGGTGCTAAGCTTGGCATAAAAGTAATGGGGCGAAAAGATAGAGGATATTTGGTAAACGCACCTCCTCCAAATCCTCGCTTACCCAAAGTGGGATCGGCGTGCCCCAGTAGCGATTACGGGAGACATTCCAATCGCGCGCATTGGCGAGCCAATTCCCAAATCGATTATCACCAACGCTTTGCGGGACCCTGAGCCATTGTTTGTGTTTTTTAGTCCATCATGAGATAAGAAGGGAGGTGGACGAACCATCTCGTCTCTTGATTATTGCCTACCAATTGGTCCACTATAGGCTGCACGCGGATAAACCACGACGGCACAGCACGATAGATCAACGGGGTACCCGATCTGCTCTCAGAAAAGGTAGATTAGCACCGACATCCCTAACACCGAAATGGGGCTCACGCACCTCCAACAATATGGATATGAATGCTGCAGCGTTGACTGCACAATTAACCTGCCCTTCGCCTTCAAGACCTTCTGTATTTCCTTATCCGCCGTCTGCGCGCAACCCCAATCAATATATGGCTTACTCACGAACAAGAGATAGAGATAAGATTGCACATACCTTGACATATACCCCCGCAAAATCAGGGACTTCATTTGTGAACTTGCCCGTCTCGTCGACAGGGCACGGTGGCATTTCATCAGGGCGTAGGACACCGTTGGCAATCGCGATGCGGTGGTCGTCATCGCCGAACGCGGGTGCTTGGTGGACAATGCCTGTACCGTCTGCGTCTGTGACATACGTGTCAACGAGAACTCGGAATGCCTTGTCTTCAAACTGAACGCCAGGGCGGAACAACCTGTCAGAATAGACACAGACTGAGCGAAAGCCTAATGGGGACAAACCTGATCGGTGAAGTACTCGAACAGCGGGACGTATCGCCATCCTTTCATATCTATCCCCTTGAACGTGCCCACCTTCTTGAATTTGGCCTTCTTTGGATCCTTATACAGCGTCTTCAGGAGGCGCTCACACAATATGAATCGCGTGTCCCGATCCTCGTCCCATATCTTCACATACTCGTAGTCTGGGTGCACACACAGCGCAAGATTCGACGGCAGCGTCCACGGCGTCGTCGTCCATGCTAATAAGGCCGTTCCAGGATCATCCACTAATGGGAATGCCACTGTCACCGCCGGATCGCTTACATCTACATAATTCTGGCCTGCCTCGAAATTTGAAAGGGGAGTCGTACAGCCAGTCGAATAGGGCATCACCCTCAAACCACGATAGACCTGTCCCTTCTCCCACAGCTGGCCAAACGCCCACCAGCAGCTCTCCATGAAGGAAGCATTGAGGGTTTTGTAGTCGTTGTCGAAGTCAATCCATCGGCCCATGCGTTCGACAGTAGAGCGCCATTCTGAGGCGTAGCGCATGACGATGGCGCGGCATTCTGCGTTGTAGGCGGGGATTCCCATAGCGAGAACATCAGCTTTTCCGGTGATGCCGAGCTTTTTATCAATCTCGTGCTCGACAGGGAGACCATGGGTATCCCAGCCGAAACGTCGGGAGACGTGGTGGCCAGAAACGTGGGCGTGGCGGGTGACGATGTCCTAGATTGATTCATCGTATCAGATTTGTGTTGGCCATGGAGATGGTTGAGGTAAAAGGTGTAGGTGGACGTGGATGGATCGTGGCGATCAGGGCGACAAGAAGTAGGTTTGTGAGCTTACGGTTCTATGATACAACAATTAATGAGAAGAAGACATACCTTGATAGTCCCAGCGAGAAGATGTCCATAATGCGGAAGTCCAGTAGCGAAGGGTGGGCCGTCGAAGAAAACATATTCAGGTTTTCCCTCTGAGAGCTTGACACTGGTTTGGAACGCGTCGATGTCTCGCCAGTACTGAAGGACTTTTTCTTCCTCTTTTGGGAAGCTGAAGGGGGCGGATACTATGCAAACGTGCAAGTAGGCGCCATCTGTCAGTGTGGATGGAGAGATACGATCGTGAACGTACTGTCGTGTGGGGCGAACGACATTGCTTTCTTTGTTTTTGTGTCGATGTGGATGCAGATGCGGCTTTGATGTTATCTGTAGCTATACGAATTCTAGGAGATGCAGGTTTCGGCTATGATTATCACTAGCAGCGTCGGCGTGATCGCAAGAAGTCTAGTGGTCGTCGTTGGCACCAGAAGTGATGGTGATAATCGATGGAATGGATGCAAAGCTGAATGATGTAGAAGGGCTGCGATGGCCTGCGCACGATGACTAGAAAGTATAAGAACCTGAAAGAGTCATAGACAAACCTAAAAATGAGTCTAAAGACGTGACTCGAGTTTCTTACTTTACTATATTTCCCGCGATATCTCTTATCTTATCTCCATCACTTTCCGCATTCAAGGGACAACTCAGACGGAGCGACAACCAACCTATGATTTTGTCGCGCGACACTCAGATCTAACTTATGAACGGTAACTCATCGTCTAATTTAAACATACATATGCCAATCGCTCGACACAAAGTTGCAGACAAGATTAAGTTGATGGGTTTATATACAATTGATTTCTTCTACATGTTGGAATTTATTTGTCGGTCAATCTAATCTTCATGCGAATCCAAAACCTTCACCCCCTTCGTTAATCGCCAGCAGTAGCTGTTGCCTAAGCATCTCGTATGATGAATACTGCGGAAGGTCAATCTGGTTGAAGCCTGCACAGTGAACGCTCGTCAGCTCAACATCGTCACCTTATTTGCGATGACTTACAGGTATGAGCTTGCGGTAGCCGATCGGAGTCTCCGTAAGCCCGATGTATAGAGAATCTCTGCACACCCTGAACACCTTGCAAGTCCACAAAGCCTCCGAGAGGTACCCGAGAGGTGCCAGTAGCGAAGCTGAGTACTTTAGCCCTCTCTTCCCGGTTAAATGACTTCAGAGCCCGCCACCACCAGACAATAACTGGATCTGAACTCGTATAACCATTATACTCGGTTGCAGCCCTCCACTCATCCACGTCAATATCTGGTGTACCCGATATCAGAAGCTCAAGCTCCTGCTCATTGAACTGTCATGGTCCTGTTGTTAGTTAGCTGAATAGGCGAAGAAAAAGAGGCGTACAATGGTTATTAGATCCTTGGGAATGATTTCATAGAAACCGGCCAATAAGTTCTCTATTTGCTCACTGATAGAAGAGTACAAGCGGAAGTTGGCAGATAACTGCACGAATTCACGCTTGTTCTCTTGAGTGACAGGGATGGACTCTCCTCCTTCTTTCAAGGGGAATATACGACTTCGACCAAACTAGAAAAGGGAATAAGACAGGAGATATATGCGAAACTCGGGTACTGACCTCATCTGCTTCTACACTGAAAGTCAGGTCTAAAGGGGTGGGGTCGTTTTCGAGAATCCAACACAGTGAATTATAGTACTCTGGATCAACCCATTCGACGTCCTTGTAGTCCACTTGCTTGCCCAGAATTTGTCGATACAAACTTTTGGCAAAATAGGCGTCGAGGAGTCGTCCGTCATATATAGCCTTTCCGATAACACGGCCAACAAATTTGAAGAATGACAGATGTTCGGGATTTACCCATGAATTTTTGTTAGGTTGGTAGGTGAGTCTATCAGCTGCACAAGGCTGGAATAGGGCGTTATTTGGATCAAACATCTGGCGGGCTAGAATCTGGAACCACTCCCGAGTGACGCCACCAGCGTCAACACCTTCCTCGTCATAAAATCGCACGCTCAGTTTACCATATTTGATTTGGTCGCCTGTCTTTCTTTGTAGGTATTGAAAGCTGTCCTCGAATACGCGTGCGCGTCGTACATTGAGCTGCAACGTGACATGATGTTCGCGTGGGTGTGGACGGCGATGCAATTGTTGACCGAAGTAATTCCGCTTGTTGTCGAAATCCAGGACTCGTGCATTGTGAACCAGTAAAGAGAAAGAGCCACTCATCAATGAGGGATTGTTCCGGACCATGAGATTAAGGACTTTACGATGAGTGTCGGTGAAGTTAACGAATAGATCCTCCATTGCTTCCTTTGGTGTAGTGGGGGACCTTGGAGAGGCCGATGCTCTAGCACGGGTGGATATCGTGGAACCTTGCTTTGATCCAACATACTTGCATACCACCATTAGAGCCTCAATTAGAGGTAACAGTACCGTTGCTATGTGCTCTGTATCTGGCTTTTCCTCAATAGTAGCCAAACAATCTCCCAGACGACGCCACAGAGGGGTGAAACGGAAGGATTCGTAGATACTTTGGACCTTTTCTGCATCTTGGTTTTGTCGTGAATCATCCGCAGCTGTTGAGCGAGGCGAATACATGTAGTCGATGGTTTTCAAGACCCTGAGTAGTTTTGCCTGATCGGAGGAAGGCAAGGAAAATCTAGACGCCACTGAGGAGGCGAGAACTTCGTAACCTGAGTCTTGCAAAGCCATAGCAAGCTCATTGAGGTCAATATAGATGTTCTGCCCGAATTCTTGAGCTTTGACTTTGAGCTCCTGGGCTATGACATCTCTGGCATCAGATATATGCGACAAATTTTGAATCAGCATCAAGCTTTGCTGGAACGTCCGACCAGAGCATTCGCCAATAGTGAGGATGTTTACTATGAGTCGCAAAACTGAATGTGGAATTTGAGGGGGATTTCCTAATATGACCCTATCTTCTAGGCTTTCAGCTGGTGCACTGCTGACTGGCGCCAAAGTTTGAGCTGATGGAGCAACTGCATATACATGTCAGTGTCAATTTTACTAATAATGATAAATAACAAACCCTGTTGAGCTTCTCCTGTTACTGCCGCCACAGGTACCGAAGGTTCTGAAACATCGGCAAGGTCTGTCGCCGGCGTTGCACTGAGGACAGCACTATTGACCGTCTCTTTTTTATTATCTTTGAGACTTGTTAATGGTTTTGTGACTGTTGAAAGGAGGGCCACTATGGACTCCATATTTGAAGGAGTTTTCAATAAGGAGTGTCGATCTAGCAAACTGAGCAATAACACAATAGGATAGTGGGTCTGTGGAACTTGTTTCTCCTTGCCTTTGCCCTTCTTCGATGACATTTTCCGAAGTCCAACAGGAAGCTCGTGTTCTGTCAAGAAAAATAACGATGACAGTTCGTTGGCGCTGACAATGTATGTTAGCGCCTCCAAACATCGCTGAGCTACGAGATCCGGGACGGTCTCGTTGGGGATGTTTGGGAGCGCTAGTGGAATAACATAATCCGATCCAGATTTGGACTTCCCAGTGGATTTTGGAGTGTGTTGACTTTGAGGCTTGGGAGTTCGTGTTGTCATTTGTGCAAAGCTTTTGTCAACGGCGGAAAGATCACCAGGGCCACTTTGGAGGATGCTCAGTAACAAATTGAAAAGCTCCGCTCTAGTTTTGGCATTTTCGCAAATGTTGACCAGAACTTTGAAGAGAAGATTCTTTTTCGACACCTGAGGGAAAAAAAGTAGGCGGACAAGCGTGGCGACTCCACTCTTATCAAGGAGCTGTATTGCATCTCGTGGAGAAGGAGGTTTTCGAGGAGGCTCGGGGCGTTGATGAGTGAACGTTCGGACAGCGCCTCGTGTGGCTAGTCCCCGACGAGGAACAGCAGCTTCTTCCCGATATGCTCCTGCTTCTGCTACCATATATGATGGAAGTGTTTGGATGAAACCCTCGTCGGAATCCAAAAGCACAACTTGACGAAGCTGAGGATCTAAGCTAGCGATGAAACTGGCAGGATCTATATCACCTGGCACACTGGGCGGAGGCTGATCAGCAGAGGGAGCGGTTTCTGGACCCCGTCGCGCTTGTTCTATTCTTTCCTGTTGAATAAGCTCTGCTCGTATTTCGGGCGGTAATGCGTTAAGAAACTCGGGGCTAATCTGTGAATCGGGTGGTCGTTCTATTCTGGCTGCACGCTGATCGCGGACGTGCTGGTTGATAACCTCCTCTCGAATGTCATCAGGCAGTGCTTCTAAGAAGGTGGGATCAATGCCCATGTCTGTGATATCGACGGAGTTGCCATGGATCATTATTGTAACCCTTTCAGCGGTCTCCGAAGAATTACTCGGGTTCTCTGCAGGAACAGAACTGCCAGATGGTTGGCCTTCAACCGAAGCAGCGTGATTCGAATTATCAGCGGAAGGCTCTGGTCTTATTTCAGTGCTGTCCGACGCATCCGCCATTTGAATGTCTCCATCGTCCTGGACGTCACTGGAAAGCTGGTCTTCATGTACCATATCCGATTCTTGATCTCCTTCCTCTTCTCCTTGTCCCCCTTCCTCTGCTTGCCCCTCCTCCTCTTTCGCAGTGCTTTGAGCTTCACGTTCCTTAGCGGCAGCGTCTTCTTCAGCCTTCGCTTTAGCCGCTTGTCTCTGCTCCTCCCTTAATTTACTAGCTTCAATAGCGGCGGGGAGCAATGCAAGAGTGACGTGGTTAGCTAATGTACTTCCGCGCTCGGAAACAAATTTGCCATTCAGGATCTTCGCTTCTTCTGTCCATCTTTGCATGGTAAGGAGGGGATCGAATGCATGTCCGGCAGGTGGAGTATCTGTTTGTCGTCCCGACCGTTCTACCCGCACGGAAGCAGACAACACACCAGGACGACGATGAACAAAACCACGGTCCAAATTGAGCAATGCACCTGAAGGAACATCCAAGCGGATGGTTTCAGGTGCGCCACCACCACTGCCCCGAGTAACGATGTGTTGGAACAAATGGACTGCACCCTCTCCAATGATATCTTCGATTGTCTGAACAAGGTCGTTGTGGGCATTGCCGACACCTGGACGGTGAGGACGACGAATGCTACGCGATTGTCCTACAGTGGGCCGAGTTGCATTCGACGAGACGTCCAGAAGAAGAGGATGAACAGTTACTTCTGGTGGGGCTGCCGGCACGTTTCTAGATCGCCCGAAAACTTGCATGTCATCGCCACCTGTGCAAGGGAGATAATGAAATGCTGACGTTAGTAATATAGCAGTCTACACACCTACTGCACGGTGTCGCCGTGAAACTACGAATGGATTTTGGACATGTCGTAGACCGTTTTCAGCACCATCGTTGAAAGCATCCGCGAAGTCAAACACGTCTTCACCATCAGGTGGGGGCGCATCCCGAATGTCTACAATGCCAAGCTCATCAGGAAATCTAAGCAAAATGATTTAATCATGTCTAATCATTTATCTCGAGTAGATGAACAGCATACCCATCATCATCCGACGATATATCTGGTTCCCCTTCTTGGTTTGCATGGATGATCGAGATAGGTTCTAAAGAATACCAGATTCAGCGTTAAGGA